CATCTGAGAAATGAGGGAAAGAAAATGGAAAAGCAATCGAATCCCTGGGATACTCTGAAATATGAGGTGCAGCTGCAGCTGTTTTTGAAGAGTTAGGAAACCCTCGTTGCTCATAATTATCTTCATTTCTGCATAGGGGTTACTTGCCAGCATGGCAGTTTGCTGTTGGTTGATATAGTCCGAGATTCTTTGCAATCCTGGCAGGTGCTGCTTCGCTTGCTGGGTATCTGCTGTAGCTTGGGGCGCTGCGGCAGGATCCACACCAAGGATGCACCAAATTCCTCCCAGTCCTGCAAAATAGGGATGTGCCAAGGTGTGATGCAGCAATACGAAAGGCAGTAAGAAAACTGTTGAAAAAGCAAAACAGGAGGGAGATGAAGAAAAGCACACATCTCTTGACAGAAGGGATTGAAAGGGCTGAAGAGTTCAATGCTATTGCTTTAGCCCGGCGAAGTTCATGGGACAATTAAAATTAAAGTAGAATAGGAATAAGGAAAGTAGAGGTGAAAGGCTATTTGGTTTGAGAAAGTTCAGTTAGTAGGGCCTGAATTTATCTCGGTTTATTTGCTTTGGCTAATGACTTAAGGAAGTTTTAAACTATTGGGTTATAATGGAGGACTGAAACATCCCTGGAGGACTAGAGGAGATTAACAGTAAGCCCATTTATATAAAGCAGGATTTACAGGCTAGTTGATGGAGTTTAGGTTCCTGAAAATTACTGGGACAACCTATTAAACATGTAATTCCTACGGACCTGCAATACTAGTAGGATGATTAATAAATTCATACGGACTGTTTATTAGAAAAAAATTGTTTTAAATTAAACAAAAAAGCTTTGTTGGGTTGCTGACCCAGAAAAGAGAAAGATTAAGACTGTTTGGCTTTAGTAATATTATTGATATTTCAATGTTGTGTCCAAGCAAAAGATCCTGTGGAAAACCTTGCCCAGCTTGAGAAGGGGTTAAAAGAGGAGACCATGTCTTTCTTTTAGTGATTTCTGAAAAACAGAACTGTTTCGTGGGGATGCCGAGGGCCATTTTGTGGGGGACAGGATCCTGCTTAGGGCATGGTTTGGAAGCAACACACCTTCATCTGGTCACTGCTCGCTGGGCAGCGCTGTGAGGAACCGCATCGCTGCCACGCAGGCATGCCCTGGCAAGCAGGGACAGATCATGAGCCGACGCTCTGGCATCCTTTGCTCGCTCGGCTGCTCCACGCTGAGATTACACACAGCACACACACAGCCACAAAGGCGTAGGTGACTCCAACAGGAGGAGCCCACTGCCCAAACATACGCACGTGCTTCTGCTTATTCAGCGTGGAGAAGGGGAAAGTTGCAGTAGTTGCTCACTTTTAGCAGCTGTCTGCTGCAGCACGCGTTTCTTGGCCACTTCTTGCTACCACAGCTCCTCTTTACGCATCTGACAAGGCTTCCTGCTTCTTGACCAGTGTTTTTTTCTGAAAAACATTTTTTCTTCTTGACCGGTGTTTTTTCTGAAAAAACACTTTTTCAGAAAATGTTCTGCATGCGTTGCAAACAGTCAGGCTGGATACAGAACAGTTCAGGTGACAATGCCAGTAATGCCTCAAGGAAACACAGTTTGCATAAACCAAAGCGGATGCTCACTTATGTAACTGGGCATCGAGTCTCACTGTCAAATCCATGCCAAAACATCACTTTGCTTTTCTATCATTCTTTACTCGGTGGGGAAGCTTCAATGCAAATATCTCTCCGAAGAGAGAAAAGACTTGAAACAATAATCTACCGGAAAAATGATACTGTTAAGATTTTAAAATATACCTTCTGTTGGTCAACAGTGATCAGTAAAACAAATCAAGCCGTGCTTGGCAAATAAAACTTGAAAAAACCCAAACTTCAAAAGATGGCAAGATGTAGCCTGTAAAGTCTTCTGGACTGAAAAAAGAGATGAATTTGCAAAGGTGATCAGGCCAGATGTCAAGGCTCATGCTTCTACAGATGTCTCACAAACACTTAAAGCAGAGGAATGTTTGAATACTTTAGGCACAGCACCAAGACACTATGGATTTAGGAATGTTAATGCGCTACTGCTCTGAACTGATACACTTCTAAGGGAAGACTCTTCCCATCTTTATTCAGTGTCTGGAACACCAGAGGCTCTGGGCTGTGTGCTGTTGAATTGACACAGAGAAATACTTCAGTGGAATGTAAAGAACAGCACAGCTGGCTCTGAACTCATTTAACATCCCCTTATTTACATTGTAATACATATGGCACAAACAGTGCAGTGATATTATTTATTCTTCTCTTTTTTTCCCTTAGAAATAAAGAACCACCAGAATCTAAGGAGGCTGGAAAAAGGCCTATATAATCATTTCTCAGTAGGACACATGGCAGAAATCAAAGCCTCCGGACACAGTTTCTCCAACACAGCTTCTCAAGACTGGGCAAGCAGTTTTCAGTGTATAGAAAAGGAGGCTCAAGTTATGCCCCTCTTTCTGTGCCTAGAAATAATAAAATTAAGGAGAAAAGCCAAGCATCAGTCATGCAGCAAACTGCAAAATGGCAGTACATCCCAGAAATTGAAGCAAATGCAAAAGAATTTGCTTTCGGGGTTAAGCGTCGCTTAAACATAAATTCTGCAACATGTAGCATTTGTTACAGCCACCTTCACACAAAACCAGCTCTTTTCCAGCACATGCTCACACTGGGGCTGAAGTATTTAACAGCTTATAACAAGGACAATTTACCTGGTGCTATGTAGCCTAGCAAAGTGTAAGATTTACTTTATGGAATAAGCAGTAAATGAAATATTGACGTTAAGGTCAAACACAGCATGTCAGGAGTCAGCACACAGGTACCCTCTTAAGGCAGTATGGCATCAGACCAAAATAAAATTATGTTTTTCCTCCATGAAGGGAGCAAGACTGAGAAAGAGAGAATTTTTCTTTGCCTTTCTCCATGACTGAAGCCCACAGACCCATGGTCTCCCCTTGCTGTACAGGGAAAAAAAGCAACCATTTTGTTTCCAACTGCATCAAAACATACACAGCCTTGTGTCTGGCTTGTCCAATTATTCTAACAGATCTGGGTACACATCCATACAGTTATAACCCATCCAAGCTCAGCCTACGTAGGATCAGGTTAATAGCTGAAAACAAAAAGTGCCAGAAGCAAACCTTTCTGAGCTGGTATTAGCTGCCAAAGCTCTCACCTCAGTGAACCACAGCTCACACGTGAGGAGCTAGTTGTAAGAAACAGTACTGTCATAGCATACAGCAGTGAGAAATACTACTAACAAAAAGATGAAAAAAATAGCACTAGTGCAAGGGACAGTATCAGAAAGTTGCTCACGTGCTCTGAGTAGCTTCCTGGATTAGTGAGGCTGGGATGGGCTCAGCAAAGCACCTGAGCATGCACAGCAGCCTGTTCCCCATAGATTAAGTTCCCCAAGTCACCCCTGGGCGATGGTGCTAGTGGCGAAGCTGATAGAAGATGTTTCCCCCTTTGTCTGGAGGTGCCATGCAGAGCTCTGGGTGACAGTGCACCCTTCTCCTCCAAGTTTGTTGTCAAAGCTGGGCGGCATGACTGTGTGCTGCAAGCCCAGGAACACCCCGAGAGGAATGAAGTCAGACCAAGCAGAAAAGCAGTTGCCTCCCACGCCCAGACTAGGTGCCTGTGAAACACTTGCAGGATTAGCACCCAAACGCAACGCCTACCGTCACCTAGGGTGCGAAGGCCTTCCCGCCCTGGGCTCTCCCTGCTAGACCGTTCTGCCTCCTAGCACATTTGGCTAAACTAGGTTCAAACTCCGCAACCATAAAAACATCTACTCTAGTCATAGGGATACTGAAGCTTAAATGGCCTTTCATTTCCAGCCTGTTTTTTTGGATTCTCTCCCATTCTTATACCCATGCAAAAAAGAGCTCTTGTGCTTCCAGTTTTGAATGTGTGGTCCTTGGCCACACAAATGTCATATGGACATTTGTGTACTCACGAAGCTGCTTCTGGGATGCTATTTGATCGCCAAGAAACTGTTTAACCTGAAGAAGATTTCTATGTGAAAGACATGGAAAATTCCCATAGAAGAAACTGAAAGTCAGGTTTTTTTCCTCTTAACTTACTCCTAGCTGAAGCACCTCTTGGGCAGCCAGTTTAACAAGCAGAAGCTATGTCCAAAAAAAACCCCAAACCCCTAGAAATTACAATTCTCTGATTGCTACAAGAAGCAGGTAACAGCTGGTGTTCACTCGTAGCATAGAAGGTGACATACTTTGGTGACAGATAAAAACATGCCCCGTTCTCGTGCTCCTCTTCAGAGAGCTTTAAGCACTAACATCATGGTGAAGCACTAAAAGCAAGTTGAAGCTATTTCACAGACAGGAAACCCAAGGACAGGGCAGGGCACCATTTAGACAACTTCATTGCACTGGGATGCGAATACAAGGTACCTTTGGTTCTTAGACAGTCGTCCAACACTGTATGTGGAACAAGCGCCTGGTGGCGTTCCTGGATCATGATCTTTAGCATGGTGCGCATTCAGCTACGTGGGTAACACTACCCTGGGTCAACACTTTCAGCTGTGGTCGATCCAGTCATAACCTACCTCCATATGAAGGGCTGGCCGCTGCTCGTAGGTTCTTCAGGCAGATCCAGAGGCCCCTCTTTACTAATTTACACTTTGTTCTAGTAGCCTCTGGTATTGCTATAGTCAGTTTTCCCTCTGCAGAGAAAAAATTAAAATAAAGTGTTCCGGGGGGGGGGGAATCTCTTCTCCAAAAAGCAGAGGAAAGAAGTTAGCATTCAGAAATGTAACCTGGGAGGTAGCATGAGCGCTTCTGACAGTGTTAAGACAAAAACACTCTGTAAACTACAAAGTGCTTAACTTAGTATCAGTACTCCTGCCAGAAACCCTTAAGATTTACCTTTAATCGGTATTTACAATATGGGTAAGAATGTGTTTATTCTATTATGTACCTGAACAGGTATAAAGGAGAGACTAGCTTTGGAAACATCTCACAAGAATATTTATTAGTCGGGAGCAATCTGTCTCAAAAGCGTGACCCATTTCATACTTTAAATGGCATTTGATTACAGTGCAGCTGCACAAGGCTCCATTCTCCCTGAACAGATGCTTGATATGCAGACGGCAGACTAGCACACTACTTATTTACATACATAAGTTCCTGGATTTGTTTAGGTTTGAGGACAGTAGTTCAAGAAAAGCCTGTTTGTCTTAATCATTTGAAAAGCTTCTTTCTTTTCTTTCTCCACTGTTTATTGTCCACATCTTCAGTATCGTCAGGAGGATCTGGTATTACAAAGCCATCAGTCATTTTGTAGTAGACTACTGTGGAATCTGACTCAACTATAGCCAAGGTAACTGACAGCGGGGTGTCAGGATCATCTTGTGGGAGAGACGCTTTCTTTATGATTTCTCTTATCCTAGAAGAGGAAACAAATCGGTTAGAAAGCAGTCCACAACCACCTAACAATGGCACAAAGGTAGAAGAGCACCACTGCTATTTTTATTCAGCCTGGTTTTATTCTGCAAATTTATCTTCACTAAAGAAAGTATAATATCTGTTTTAATAAAAATCCAAAGTCATATAATCAAGCAACAAAATCAAATAAAGAATCTTATAAAAATATACTCAGTGACATACATCTCTGCTGGAAATGGCTCAATGCATACTTCTAAGCTTTGCTTAGGTGTAGTACTGTGCACGTGCTTCAACCGTCCTTCAACTACCACAATCATAGCATGGCAATCTCTAATGGCCTTGTTTTCATTAGATTAAAAAAAAAAAATCTATCTAATTGAATAACACATGGCGTTCAATTAGAGAATAAAATAATTAAGACTTGTTCCATTCGTAGAGGTAAGTCTTCCAGTCTCTGTGCTACAGTTCTCTGCCAGACTGTGGAAGACCCAGGAACCGAAGCCAGGTTTCTCTACCTCGCTGTCTAGACTAGAAGCCACAAGACTAACGTTCTTCAAGATAGTCAGCATAAATAATGTCTTCCTTAAAAATTCAAGACAAAGTTATGTAATTTTTCCTGTTCAGCTTATTTTAATAACAACATGCCAGTTGCTTTTCAATTCAGAGCTGAGGACAACACTGATTCCTGGAGTCCTCCTATTACTGTTCTGACTGGGGAGCAAGTACTGAAGGAGTACAGTGCCCAGGGGCAGAACAGTAACACTCCCCATAGCTCCCTGTGGAAATGCTTGCTTTCTCCTTCACCTAAAGCTTGGGTGCCATAGGGCTCATCTGGGGTTGCCAGGACAGGTTACGCTCTGGGGAGAGGTCAGCTATGCAGTGGGAAAAATCATCCCTCACTTCATGTGCCCCTGAGATATCATTCACCAGAAAACATGCTTTTCTGAAGCTGGGAACTGTAGTTGAAAATAAGACTCTTTCTAAATGCATCAGCTTTCAAACTTTAATCATCATCTTCCTTCCAGACCTCTTTACTCCCTTAATAAAAGCCAAATGGAAAGCGGCAGAGAATAAGCAGCAGCCTGGAAAGCCTATGCCATTAAGCCTGTGACCCTCTTAAGTATCCATCTGCGTTCTGAACTGTTCGTAATTCAACTTGGCTAAATTCAGTAGTGCCTTTTCTTTTGCTTTCACTACTGGCCCACATATAATGCAAGACAAGGCAATACAATATAGTTAGTTAGTCACTTCATGCAACAGAGATACCAAGGCTGTGAAAAGCCATATTCTGGTCCTTCTACCATCAGCACATTTCATAACAAGAGAACAAGTAAGCAAAGAGATACAGTATTGGCCACTGGCAGAAGAGAGACACCTGCAAAAGACTCATACTTCAAGCAATGTGACATTAACTTCTCTGCTCCCTGCCACTGCTTTGTCTGCACGTGTTTACTGGGCAGGTGCCACAGACTCAGGGCCTTGCTGTGGGAACACTAACTGCGCCATGGGTATTAAGGAGAGCATAAACGCAAGCCTGCCTTCCAAAGCTGTAGGCAATTCATGGATGGAGGTGCTCTGCAACAAGAAATGCATTCCACTATGAGCAATGCCTCAAATACAGCAATGCCTTCCAGTGAAAGCACTACCTAGTGAGAGGGGTCATGTGCCTGCTGGAGTTGCACTAGCAAGTACCAAGTGAATCACAGGTGTACAAGCAGGCACCAGGACCGCAGTAAGCAAGGACAAATGAACTGAATGTCTAAAGCACAGCAGTGAAGCGCTGTACGTCTGTGCTGATGCTGCACACCTTTTGCTCTTGTCACTTCCAGCCCCTCTTTAGGGGTATCTCCAGCACCACAATGTCTTGCTGTAGCTCTGGCGGGTGACGAGGGCCTGGGAAAGGATTCCAGATGTCCTTCCAGACACGCTACACTTGCACAGAGCAAGAATCCACTTGTCACACCTCAGTAGCTTGTGTCTGGAGGAAGCTCTGAATAAGTAGTCAATGATGAGGCCAGGCTACTGGCAGAGACCCAGTGAGGAAAGAACTACCCATGGCTTTTATGAAGCAGTGGATATTAATCTTGCTCTGTCTCCTGGGAATGTGAAATAGAAATAACAATAAAAAGCCAAATAAAATAGCACAGCTACCCAGAAGAGAGATTTTGGGACCCAAAGAAACCAAACTTGTGTTGAGTGTGGACAGTCCCGTATCTGGAAGCAGACTCAGGCAGTCGCCTGTATTCACCTGTCAGTCAGGGCAGAAGCTCCTTCATATTTTCTTTAGTAACTGTCACCGTTTCTCTTCCTAGTCTATTAGGGGGGTGGATGTAACGGTGACACCTTAGATCTAGATTTCCCATCAATCACGATTTTTCTTATACTGTCAAGCAGACACCTGAACCTTTATTTCCCCCCTTTTAGCACTTAGACTTAGAAGATGCACCATGATCCCAAAAGCGGCCAGGTCCTGACAACAGATTCATGACATTTCTTTGCATCTCTGACTTACTTTTCAGGGGGCTGAGTTTCAGGCTTTAGGTAAAGAGCAAAGATGTGCCATTGCCTCAGGATGATCTGCTAACACTGCTGTCCACGGAGTCCAACGCTTTCCACTGCACATGGGGAATCAGCCTCTATCGTCATAAAGAATTACAATTGCAAATGCAAGATTCTCCTCTTCCCCCTTTTCTCAACACAGGCAGCCCCGAAACAAGAGCTCTCATTCATGCATACCACAACTAGCCATAATGCAATGCAGGTCATCTGCGGATTAATGAGAGGGTATCTTTTAAAAGAATAAGCTTTGGAATTCAGGAAGTCTGTGTCAGATGCCTGCGTTTCCTCTCCTCCCCTGAAGGCATCACTGTTAGCCTCTGCATCCAGCATGTTCAGAAAGTTTCTCTGCAACAGCAGACATTTCAAAGAAGGAGTCAGTGAACATCTGGGTTTGTGCTGATTTCACTGCACTTGCTACCTGCCATGAACAGAAAGATGAAATATTGCAGGAAAGGTATAGGTTTTTTAATCCTTTTGATGTATCTAACACTGTCTATGAAAAAAAAAAAGCAAGAGGTGTTCTTGGCCTTCTGAAATTCAAAGGAGTGCATGTTTGACTGCCTAAACAAGCAAGGTTAGAAGCCTTTATTTCAAGAGATACAGCCCTCTAGGCTGCCCATCTCACAGCACGTCTTCACAGCACATCACACAACAGCTGCATTCAATGACTAAAATGAAGTCCTAAACAAGAAGCCTGTATGTAACACCACCCCCCAACAGAGCTAGCTGACTTAATTTACTAAGTTAATGGTTACAGATAAGCTCCTTAATGACCAGTACATCTGCTACACCATACAAGTGACATCAGTTATAAACGATTGCTTCTGCTTAAGTAAAAATGGATTTAATGTTTCTGCAAGTGTCAAATATTAGAAGCCTCTGGAACAGGGGAATTCAATACATCCAGTACTTTGGCATACTCCACCAACAGTCTTGGTAACCTCCACTCACCAGCATCCTGACCAGCCTCTTCCTCATGAGTCACAGCTGTGTTAGGACACATTCTGCAAACATTGTTCCCATTGATACCAAGGGGTCCACTATGACTCTGGTTTTGGTTCCCCAGCCTTTACAGGCCATGCTCCAACAGCGTGAACCCCACAGAGGCTGTGGTGTCAAGCATTTGGCATGAACTGGCTCTACCTGGTTCCTCCTTTTCAACAGGCATTCAGGTATGCCCACTCCACCGGCTAGACAAAGTTTTAAGCAGAATGTAGAGACTTAACATGAGAAAAGGTGCAGCTGAGAAAGTTAATACTGTTCTGCAGTGTCTGAATAAAAGCTTAGCATGTTTTCAATACAGTCTCAAGTAAAGCCTATGTTGGAAGAATGCACCATTTCACTTTGTCATCTCCTGAAGGACACTGTACAACACAATACTCAGTCATCTTAGTATATGTTCATCCACAGGCTCTGCCTTGTTCATCGCCTTAGACTTGCTCATCCACAGGCTCAGCCTGACTAGGAAGATCAGGGACAGTCAACCCTATATATGCCACCCTCTCGGGATTTATGCCAATGACTACCTGGTGAAAACTAAAATGCATCTAGAGTCCCAAGAAAGTGCACAGAGCAATCAGGTGTGCGTGCTGCTACATGCACAGTGAGAAGTCTATGAGTTAAAATATCCTGCAACCACTCCTTTCCATTCTCTCTCCCTCCCCATGAAGAAAAGCCATTGAATGTTAAAACAGGCAACACAAAAGCTTTAGGTTTCCCACACAAAAAGGTATGTCTCAAACAAAGGCACTGTAAAAGGAAAATAACATACATAAGCTAGGGGAATACAGACACCACAAGAAACAGCGGAAAGTTTTATTTAAGTCCCATAAATAGAATAAGAATAAATATTTTTTTTTTAAATAAGAATTCTCATCTGTGGCAGATCATACAGTCCAAAATTTTCAAAATAGCTTGAAAACCCATCTCTAAAAACTGATGGTGTCTGCATGGTTGCTGCAAGCTAGGATCTCCTCCCACCAAGCCAAATGCAAGTAGGATGAAGCCCTTAGTTTCCATCTAGGAAGCAAACTCCTATTCACCTCACATTGCAGGAGATGAAAAGGATTTAATCTCAAATACTGAAGGAGACACTGTTATCCAAAGTAAAGAGCTGGCATTTCTAAAGCCCTCTGCATCAGAAAAAGGGCTTTAGAAAAGGCTTTCTAGATACCTACAAACTACATTCGGTAGGGATTGCTTTTTTCTACTAAAGAATTAGTCGTAAGAGCAGGTTTAACTTACTTAACATCATGCAAGGACCACTGCACCTAAGGTAACAGCACTATGAATGTCATCCTGCATCTGCCTTTACTGCTGCATTCAAACTAAATGGCAACAGTGAACTTACCTGGTCTTCTATTACTGTTGCAATTAATAGCTTAAAAACAAAACAAAACCCAACAACAAAACAAAAGAAGTCCATACAAATCCAACCAAAGA